AAAAAGGAACCGATAAGACACAAGGAGGTTGGATAAAAATCAGGATTGTAAAAGTATCCTGGAAGCCAAAAGAGGAAAAGTCCTCCAAAGGAAAGGAATCATGGTATGAAATGACAGCTCTAAAGTTTTAATAAGAGGAGACTCGGAATTGATCACAGGATTTAGCAGAGTACAGACCACAGGTCATACTAACAAGAGTAGTTTTATGAAGCAGTGGGGGCAAAAGAATGATTAGAGCAACTTCAGGAAAGAACAGAGGAGGACGTTGAAACAAGTTCAGGTAACTCCTATCTTCTGCTTTAGGAAAGCAGAAAAATGGAGCAAAACCTGGAAGAGAATGTAGGGTAGTTTTTGTTGTTATTCTCACCACAGAATTACAGCATGGCTGTGTGCTGGCGGAAAGGGTCCAAGAGCAGGAGGTGAGCAGTCCTTACGATGCAGGAGACAGAGCAAACGGCTACTGGAGCAATGTCCTTGCTCCTTGTAAGTGAAAGCAAACAGGATCTAGTTATACAACAAAATGCACGCAGTTGGCCTTAGATTAAAGCAGGGACAACTTAGTCACGGTAACACATGGGACAACAGCGTATACGAGCACAGATACACAGATATGACTTGATATTCTCTCTCAATGAGAATGGCAGAAAGTGCTGGAAGTCTAAAGAAAAGAAAAACAGTGTGAAATAGTCATTTAGGAGAGTGGCAAAGTGACAAGGATAACGCATGAGCATTTCTGGGTAGCTTTTAAAGGCCCACCTGAGAGTAGAGGTCATGAATGGAGACGAAGTATTGCTTTGTATGCATGCATTTCTGTTTCCAAGTCATATTTATTCAGGTAGAAAGGTGGACTTGGCCAGGGTTGGGACTTCTTTTTAAAAAACAAAATTTTTTAACATTTATTTTTAAGAGACAGAGAGAGACAGAGTGCAAGCAGGGGAGAGGCAGAAAGGGAGACCCAGAATCTGAAGCAGGCTCCAGGCTCTGAGCTGTCAGCACAAAGCCTGATGTGGGGCTTGAACCCACAAACCGTGAGATCATGACCTGAGTCAAAGTCAGACGATGCTTAACTGAGCCACCCAGGCACCCCCACCAGGGTTGGGGTTTCTTCAGGGAAAAACAGCAAAGGGAGTAGTGCAAGGAAACTGAGGCTCTGTGCCAGAGGGAATGTGATGACAGATTCCAAACCTGATACAAGGGAAGCGATAAGTAAAGATCCCAGGGAAGTGAAAGAATGTTTGAGCTGGGGAACTAGAGCTGGTAACTTCAAAGCACTAAAGGATAATGACCCAGGTGAAGACATACCAAGTAGAAGTCCCGATGACTCACAGGAGATTTGAAATGTGGGGAGGTCAGGTGGGAAGCTGGAGAGAAGGGAAGGCAAGTGGTCTAGAACAATAATTCTCAAAGTGTGGTATGTGAGTCTCTGTGGGTCTCTGAGACACATTCTAGAAGTCTGAGAGGTCAAGACTATTTTTATGTAATATTAAAGAATTATTTGCCTTGTTTACTGTCGTTATCTCAAGAATATACAGAGGACTCTTCCAGATGCTACCTGACATAATGGGGACATCACTATGACAGCTAACAGAATGTATGTATCTATTCTTATGTTGCCTAGAATTGTCTATATTGGTAGCTGTATGATATAACTAACTTTGTAAGTTTCCCCAAGATTAACTTAGTTTGTTGGAAATACTTCCACTATGTTCTGTTTGTCTTCAGTTTTATCTGCTGTAACCTCTGTAACCTCTTTATTGTCCAAAAAATTACCTTAAAACCCAAACTTTCCTCGAGCCTACAAAGAAACACAGTTGAGACATATGTACTTTGCTGTGTTTTGCAATATTAGTACTAAAAATGCTCTCGAAACCTCTACAAATTTTAAAACTTTATTTGAAACTGTTTGAAATACTTTATTCTAAAATAAGTTTATTCTAATACATTTTTCATCTACTTATTAATGGTTCTTTGGCTTCAAAATGATAAAATTAAAACATTTGTCTGCTGCAAAACCCACAGCTGTGCCATCTAAGTCTAAAGGTGCTGACAAATATAGACATGACATGGAAGGGAGACTGGAGCAAAATAGGAAAATAGGAAATAACTATTAGAATTAACAAAAATTATTATTTCCCTCAAATGTATAGATGTTGATAACTTGCCTTATTGTGCCTATCCAACAGAACATTTCTGAATACTACCCTAATGCCAGTTGTGGGCACACTGAGATCACATACTCAGTTTAAACACAAGTATTTTGGGACACTTGGGTGGCTCAGTTGGTTGAGCATCTGACTCCATTCCAGCCCAGGTCGTGATCTCACAGATTTGTGAGTTCAACCCTAGTGCTGGGTTCTGCACTGAAAGCACAGAGCCTACTCGAGATTCTCCCTCTCTCTGCCCCTCCCTCCCCTGTTCGCACTCTGTCTCTCTCAAAATAAATGAACTTAAAAAAAAAAAAAAAAAAAAAAACAACTTATTTTTATTTGAGAGAGAGAGAGAGAGAGAGAGAGAACGAGCATGTGCCAGCAGGGGAGGGGGGCAGAGGGAGAGAGAATTCCAAGCAGGCTCCATGCTCAGCACGGAGCCCAAAATGGGGCTCGATTCCATGACCCTGGGATCTTAACCTGAGCCGAAATCAAGAGCCGGACGCTCATCCAACTGAGCCACTCATGTGCCCCTAGAAAAAATATTTTAAATGAAGATGTGAAAAGGTCTTCAAAAGCCAGAACTGTTATAAAATTTCAAAGTAGAAATGAAAGAGGCACTGAAGCACTTTACAGGGTAATTATGGTGCTGGACTGGCTAGAGAGGCACACACAACTGCTAGCAGCTGAGAAAGCCTGGGACGCATGACAATGCCGAATGCCTACTAGATGAAAAGTCAGTAAAAAAAAATCACAATGCTGCCACTTTTCAATTACACAGTAAGTTCCTGAATTAAAGACTTGGCAGAGACAGACTACATTTTTGTATCTGTGAGCCAGACTACATTTTTGTCCTGCAAACAGATTCATATACAGATGTAGCTGACCCTGGTATTTTGCTTCTATTAATTTGGTGTCAGAACCCATCAATCATTAAAGATCTTTTGCGTGAATGTACGGCCACAAACGCATGTGGTGTTGAAATACTCGAAACATTAAAAACTTAAACATCTGTGTTGACAGTTGCACTGACGGTAGGTATGCAAAGCAACGTGGGTGACAATGGCAGGCACCTGAGCACAAATTAAAGCAGGGGCACCAAACTGTACCAGCAGTCATTCAATTCTCTGCCACACACTCTCGCAAGGAAAGAAAAAAAGGCCAGTTTAAGAATGTCTTTGATGAAGCAATTTATATAGCATTTTGTACTGACTCAATCTCAATTTTGAGTATATGTGTTCTTAATATTCCGTGTAACTAAGTACTATGTGTACGTCAGTCAAGGAAAAGCATCTCGAATGCTGGAGCTGAGAGCTAACCTAGCAGCTCTTTTCACAGAATGTCATTTTTATCTGAAAGGGTGACAAACCATTGTAATTCAGATTTGAGTACTTAGTAGACTTCCCTCAAAAGAGAACAAAATAAGCCTGTTATTTCAATGATAAAAATTCAATGATTCAAGTGAAAATTGGAATTGTGGAAAACTTTTATCTACCACAGGGAATGTGACGGTGTCCCAATACATTAGAATTTAGAGACGTGATAAGTAGTGATTTTTTTCCTGGATATTGTACAATGAAAGATATCAACATTTGGAAGATCTCCATAACTCAGTAAACCAACGTTTTCCAAATGACCAATGCATGATGTCACAAAACCACGCATGGATAAAACATCCATTCAAAGTATAAAATAGACTGCTGAGGGGCACCTGGGTAGCTCAGTCGGTTAAGTGTCCAACTTTGGCTCAGGTCATGATCTCACGGTTAGTGGGTTTGAGCCCCGCGTCAGGCTCTGGGCTGACAGCTCAGAGCCTGGAGCCTGCTTCAGATTCTGTGTCTCTCTCTTTCTCTGCCCCTCCCCCCCACTCATGCTTTGTCTGTCTCTCTCAAAAATAAACATTAAAAAAATTAAAAACTAAATAAATAAGACAGATTGATGAATTTTAGTTTAACAGAGTATGCAAAGTTCATTGATAACGATTTCAAATGTTTAGGAAAAGTAGCAAAAAAACAATGTCCACAATTACCTGGAAAGACTATTAAAATGTTTTTTTTCCAACTACATATCTGCATAAAGCCAAATTTCCTTCATGTAGATCAACCAAAAACACATAATGCAGCAGACTAAATGCACAAACAGGCAGGCACTGGAATTCAGTAAAATATTAGAGATTCACAAAACTGTAAACCAATGCCACTCTTCTCACAAACATTTCTGGAAAACAAAGCTAGTTTTCATTAAAATGTTATTCATGTCACCATACAACGGGTTTATTATTGCCATTTTGAAAATAATTAATAAAGATTTATAAAAATTTCAGCCTTAATTCCCCTAAAGATAAGTAACAATAGATATAATATACACTAGCAAAATCTCTTAATGGTCTTGAATGACTTTTTAAGAGTACAAAGTAGTTCTGAGATTAAAAAGTTTGAGAATTTCTGCTCTAGAAGCAACAAACGAGGACGAGAAAGACAGTTATTTACCCCATCTTCAGGCCCACAGTATACGGAACTGGAGAGAAAGTGGTCCCACTCACTGGGATCCAAGAAAAATATATGCTCATAAAGCTGCCAGCTTTCAGCTGGAGCAAACTGGTAAAAAAAAAACAAAAAAACAAAAAAAACAAAAAACTCTCCCCTCTCTCCTAAAACACTAAACTTCCCCATCTTTACTAGATCTTTCCTCTCACATTGAGCAGTTCTATTACCACTGAACCCTGGAAAGATGATGCGGCAGCTCTAGCTAAGTAATGGTCCAGGTTGACTCTTATGCTGATGGGCGAACCCTCTTAAACTTCACAATATTACATATACCAGCAAAATGCAGCAGAAACAAGAACTTCCCTACCAATTTCACTTCCGCTCCCTCCATCTTGGACACTCCATAAGATGATGCTACTCTCTGAAGCAACAGCAACCATTTTGTCTTTGTCGCCATGTGGACCTCCAACCACTTTTGCATTTAAAGCTACTCGTTCAATAGTCCAATCCAAATATGGACTGGTAAACACTTGTTGCCATCCTGAAGACTCTTTGATTCTGTTAGTAAAAATAAAATATAAGTTAGACTCAGCAGCAATTAAGCAAACAATACAAACGAATGTTCCAAAAAAATTAATCACAGCTATATTTATTAAATACAAGATTCTGCCAACGTATTTCCTCTACAAAGCCAGAACCATATTCTTAAGCTATCTTCTATTTACATACATAGGACATATAAGCCACATAACAAGAGACCAGCGTTTTATATTTCTCCAAAGGAAAGTTTAGAACAATCACTCAGATTTTGAAAAAGCTTTAACAACTTAAAAAAAAAGAAAAAGATTGTATCTTTCACTTTTCTACTCAGAGAAGTGCTACTATCATTATCTATGGATAGAACAGTCACAAAAATCAGAATTTTAGGATATTATTCCTTTCAATTATTAATCAGTTATTCAGTTATTAACTGTAACTACCTACAATCAACCTATTATTTTTTGGTACTTCAGGCAACAGGGCTGATAGTCTATCCAGGTAAACCAAGATGAAGGCATAATCCGGTATATACCACTATGCATTCCAATAAACTGGGACAATCAAATGAAAAAAATGTAGGGCTTTGGAAAAGCCTGATTTTAAAGGTTTCATTCTAAATGAAAAAATTTCATGAGCCTATTCCTTCCAAATAAATAAAGCCTACCACGGTTCAGAACTGCAGTTGAGTGAATATAAATGCTTTAATATTTCATTACTTATAAACATACCTGTAAGTTTTTAGTAATTTTTCTGCCCTACCCGAACTTAAGTCTTTCAGCCATGTATTACGTATAATTATATAGCCAGCCTTCATACATTCAGAACTTATAGTTATGCAGTCACAAGTAATGACCTCAACCTTAACTATGGAATATCTGCTTTTGAAGTCACACCGATGGAAACAAAGTTGTAAAGTTTTTATTTGCCTTACCTATGACAATAAATACAACATGAAGAAAACGATGCTCATTTATATACTACCTGACACACAATCACAAAAAAACCTTCAGTGTTCATACATGACAGTTACCTGAGGACCTGGGTAGAAATACTTTCACTTCAATTTTGTTTAATAACGTGTGCTAACATGCACCTGGAGGGCTCAGTCGGTTGAGCAGCTGACTCTCAATTTCAGCTCAGGTCATGATCTCACAGCTTGTGGGTTCAAGCCTACAATGGGCTCTGCACTGGCAACACAGAGCCTGCTTGGGATTTTCTCCCCTACCCCCAAAATAAATACATAAAACTTAAAAAAATTTTTTTTGAAGTACGCTAAAGTAATACAACCATAACTCGCAAAAATATGCAATTCAGCCTTATCATTTCAAAGAACTAATGATTTCCTTCACTTCAAAAGAATATACAGAAAATGCACAACTTTTTTAAGAAAATGCACAATTTTTCCTAAGCATTATATGGTTCTGCAATTACTCACTTCAGCCACCAGATGGGATCATGTGTTATGATATATAAACAGAAAAAAATCATTTAGTAAAATCTAAACATGTACAAACATTGAGATATGACATATAGGCCCTCTGAGGAACTGTCAAACTGGGCACAATGCAGGGATTTGCCAGCACCTTGAGAATAGTGACCACACGCTGCTGATGTAGACACAGACACACACGAGGCTCAGGACAGTGTTCAATAGAGGCCCTGTGCAGAATTTAATGATGTAAGTTTTGTGATCATTACTTTAGAAATGTAAGTGTATATGAGCTCATCTTTTACAGAAATCATACCTATAAGTTACCTTTCTCTACAGAAATTAGGTTATTATAAAATAGGGATGCCAAAAAAGAGTAAAAGAATCAGGACAACATATTTGAAAGTGATTATAACAATTAGAAAATTTAACTCGAGGCACCTGGTGACTCAGTCAGTTAAGCATCCAAATCCTGGTTTCGGCTCAGATCATGATCTCGCAGTTCATGAGTCTGAGCCCACATGGGGTTCTGCACTGCGAGTACAGAGCCTGCTTGGGATTCCCTCTCTCTCGGTCCCTCCTACATGTATGTGCTCTCTCTCTCTTTCAGAATAAATCAATTATTCTGATTAAAGATTAAACAAAAAAGAAAATTTAATTCAATATGATAGGTGATATTGTTTTTAAGTTAAAATCAAATACAAAGATGAAAAACATATATGCTTTATCATCTTCCACACAAGTGACACAAAACTTTAATATGTAAAACAAGATAGATGAGCTTTGATTGGTACTCTACCTCCTTACTCCTGCCCAGTGAACCAACATTATGAAATCAGGAGACTTATGCAAAGAGTATGAATACCATCCACATTAAAATCTCAAAAGAAATGTAGTGGAGGAGTCATGCCCCGACATCATTGTGCAACTTACTACAAATATGTAGTACCTCAGATTATATGGGAACAGATAAAATAGGTCATTTTAGAAGAGAGTCTAAAATTAGATCTAAGTATATCTATACAAATATAAAGCAAGATAAAGGAGGGCTTGCAAATTCACTGAGGAAAGGATAATTTATGTGATAAATAATCAGAACATAATTAGCTACTACCCTCTTGGAAGAAAAGAAAATAGATCCCTAAATCTCACACCATAAACCAAAAGCAAGTTCCGAATGGATTAAAGATCGAAAAGCTCCAGGAGGGCAACAATTTACACAACCTCTCTTCAGTAACATAGATATACAAAAGTAAACAGGTAAGCCTGGGAGGGAGGAAAAAAAAGAGAGAGGGAAACAAACCATGAGAGACTCTTAAGGTCAGTGAACAAACTGAGGGCTGAGGGAGAGAGGTGAGTGGGGGAAGGGCTAGATGGGCGATGGGCACTAAGGAGGGCACTTGTTGGGATGAGCACTGGGTGTTGTAAGTGATGAACCACTGAACTACTCCTGAAACCAACACTGTACTGTGTGTTAACTAACTAGAATTTAAATAGAAATTTGAAGGAAAAAAAAAAAGTAAAGCCTAAGAATGTGGAAAATTAGTAAATCTAGGTGAGAACATACAGGGGTTCAATGTACTATTTCATTTTTTAGGGTTTTAAATTTATGAAAAGCTGTGGAAAAACAACTTGTGGAAAAGATTACACTATTGAAATCATTTGAGTATTTATTTTGAAATCTTCTAATTGCCACTGTGTTAAATGATTTAACCATATACGAGGAAAAGCAATACATCCTCAATTCTCTTCCTTCGTCACTATGCATAATTAGTCTGTCATCAACAACACTCAGAGAAAGCAAAGAAAGGTCATGGTCAAAAGCAAACACAAAAAATGGAAAACGTAACAGCATCCTTCTGATATTTGTCACTCAGTGAGGGAAATTTTGTGCAATACTGCATGTCTCTGTGTGGCAAGTAGAAATCTTCAGTACTGCTGTGCAATAACAGGTTACACCTGGGTAACATAATTATTTCACAACTCCTCTGGAATTCCTTATTAATAAAAACACGTACATAATATTTAACCAAATAAAAAATAAAGTCTAAAATAGTTTTCTCAACTTAGAGCCACAGCCCTTAAGTTCAAAACACCTCCCCTCAAAAAATTCCTTTTTTCAAATCAGTCTTGCTTCATATAAAAGTCATCCCCCAAAGAAATCACCCAAAAAGTCATTTCCATACTATTTAATAATTAAAATAAAAAAACAGAATACTCTCAGAAGGAAAAGTTTGCACTAACTCTCTATTGCAATGAAAATATAACATAGAGATTATTGTTACAAAAGGCTTTTTTACCCAAATGGCTAACCTACCAATAAGCTCAGATTTAAACAAATACATCTGGGATTCTTTAAAATACATCTGTAAACTCTGTAAGTTATTTTTCATATTTTTAATCTATTGTGGCTATTTTTTCTTAACTAAACTCAATGGTGACAAAATGTTTATATATTCTTTTATTTTTTAGCAATTAAGTGGGATAATAATCACAACCGTCTATGTGCTACTATGCCACTCTGTCAGAGTAACACTGTATACAGTGATTGTGAACAAAGAATCCTACCCCTTCTCCAATTTAAAAAAACAGAATCACTGGTCTCCACTACATTCTTTTTCATTCTCTCTTAGTTTCTGAGAATGCAAGAATTAGTAAAACCAAACCACCTCTGTGTAAGTCTCGCAGATTACAGACATTAAACCATATCACTGCTGCCCACAATTGTCCTGCTTCAATACCTCACTCCCAACTCTTTGAAAGTCATGACCAAGTCTTACTACCCCCACCTACAGAGTACAAAAGACTGAAATCACTATAGACAGAAAACCACAAGACTCCTATTAATAATTCTGCCTAGCCACTTAATAGTTAAAGTGATTCAAGAGCTGGACAGAATAAGCAAAAAAAAATAACCTCAAGATACCTCAATTCTATCACAGTTGATATTAAATGGGAAAGATATATAAAAGCTATCAGAACATTTATCAAATTAATTACATAAATGAAACGAAATCTAGTCAAGAGACACAGAAGTGGGCAAAATACACAGGAAAAAAATATGACTAACAACTCTTATGTCTGTAAATATAAAATCACAATTATTAAGAACTACACCTCTCCAAAAACAAACCTTTATTACTTATACAGTACCTGTAACACACAGCGAAATGAGCATATGCAGCTACAATCCAGTTGTGATGGCCAGCCACAATTAGCACCTTTCGTGGATCCACAGGAAACCCTGTTGATTTTAGAAAAAGAAGTGGTTAATGTTCTAAAGCCGGGGTGCGTATACTATGGCCCATGGGCTGATTCCAGTCTTCTACCTGTTTTGATTAATAAAGTTGGGCTGAAACACAGCCATGCACATTTATTTACATATTGCCCTTGGCTGTTTTCAATGCTGCAATGGCAGAGTCAAACAGTTCTGACAGAGCCTAAAATGTTTACTGTTTCTTTAACATAAAAAGTTTGTCGGGGCACCTGGGTGTCGGGGCACCTGTTTCTTTAACATAAAAAGTTTGTTGGGGCACCGCTCAGTCGGTTGGGCGTCCGACTTCAGCTCAGGTCATGATCTCACTGCTCGTGGGTTCGAGCCCCACGTCGGGCTCTGTGCTGACAGCTCAGAGCCTGGAGCCTGCTTCAGATTCTGTTTCTACCCCTCTCTCTGTCCCTCCCATGCTCGTGCTTTGTCTCTCTCTGTCTCTCAATAATGAAGAAATGTTTTAAAAAAAGGTTTGTCAACTCCTAAAGATTTAGAGCAGACAGATGATCACAAACTTTTTAAATAAATTATATGCCAAATGAGATATAAAAATATAAATGATATATTTACATTAAAAAGACAGGTAAGGCAAAGATCACATCTTTAAAAAATAATTACTCAGTATCACTCAGAACTAAAACCATTTGCATTTTTTTTTTTTTTTTTTTTTTTTTTTTCTGTCTACTTCTGTAATCTTTGTTTACCTAGCCTAACAGTCTCTTCTCCAGTTCCAGAGAGAGCAGGCTGGGTACCATTTCCCCGAGCTTCACTTTCTGTGGAATTTAATCCATTCCTAGAACCAGCAGAGGATCTAGTTGTGTTGTTTATTTTACGACTAGGAATACCTATAAAAAGAAATAATAAGGGACATTTATTTCTAAATTCACCTACCAAAAATTTATAATTTCACACTGTAACAAAGAAACATACAAATGTGAATTTCATCATAGCTAAAACATGCCTTCCAATATAGCAATTTATTACAAATAATTTAATTACTGTGAAAAACAACAAAATGAAAATGAAATAAATTCTTTCAACAGATTTCTATTTATCAATCACGTTATATTCCATTTTAGCTAACTCTAGCTTACTGAAATCAATCATTAATTCAGTTGTCACCAGTGTTCACATTTGCTGTCTGTTTACAGTGTTTCCAGTTGCTTTGTGTTCGGTACAAGGCACTCACGGAAACTGCTTTACAGCTCAACTGCCCCTTTTACTAAATGTCTTTTATTTGGCAGAAGAGTCTGTTTTGGAATGAAATCTTGCTCAGAAGCCCAGCTTAACAAAGGTAAAGGCAAAAGTCTCCTAACTGACCGAGGTGGGGCAGGGATGACAGGCGCCTCACGGCCTCTCTCTCGTACACTGGCCTATGCCTGCAGAGCTCCCGGGGTTCTACAGAAAGGACACTGACAGCCGGTGCTCTAACACGGGCTGGCAGGCTACGGGCCATGGCTGTTTACATCAATAAAGTTGTACTGGTTGCATCTGTTCATGTCCGCAGAGCATACGACAGGGCTGAGTAGTTGCCATCCAGATCTTCTAGCCCACAAGCCTGTCTGGCTTTTTACAGAAAAGAAAAAGCTTGGCACATCCCCACTCTAACATACAGTAGGACTTCTGTTAAAATTAAAGTTCTCAGCATTCCTAGTATATTTATACACAAGAAACTCAATAATCAAGAAAACAGATTTTCCTCTCTACATGCCTGTATTTGCCAAACGATGAAAAAACAAATTTTCTTAAAGACTAGCTAAACGAAGCAGAAGTACCTGGTGGAGGCAAGTAACCATGAAAAAGGACACTGCCGCAAGATGAGCGTTCCAGTTCTTCGCAGAGGAGAAGCCTTCTTACTAAAAACATTTCAAAGCAAACTTGTCAAGAGTACATGCAAACAGAAAAATAGTACTCCATTTTTATTTTCTCTAGTTAAAGAGGATAAGGAAAGAAAAGGAAAATGTTTAAGTTAAATCAGTTGACAACATCTTTTTACTATGAAAAACCACAAAAAGTAAGCACACTGAACCAGGTCATCAAAAAACAGGACCTGGTATAAAACATATTTCATTAGACAAGTTTACTACATGAAAAGTCAAATCATAAAAACAAAATTATTAGGACAACACATACCTAATGGAGTGATTCCATAAAATTCTGCTTCATGCCTGAGAACATTAATACTTACTCCCCTACAAAAAAAAAAAAACAAAACACCAAACAAATGATATAAATCCTCCAACACTGGCAACTTGGATTATCTGAAGCAGAGGGAAAAAGTACTACATTCTTAGTGAACAAAGTCATAAGGCTTTAAAACTTACTCTTCTCCTAATATCTTTAGTCATTTTAAAAGCTCTAAATAAAACAAAACAAAACAAAACAAACAAACAAAAAACAAAACGCATGCCAACGAAAACATTTTTTTACTTAAAAACCATTCCCGTGTAGATAAATTGGGTAACTGAGAAATTAGGGCTTCAGAGGGTTAATACGAATAAATTATCAAGAAATACCTAATAAGGCAAATAAGAGTAAGAATCATTCTTGTATGACATTTATTGCTTTTAAATTTTTATCATAATTATTTCTATATATATTTTAACCTCCCCAATTATACTATAAAGATCCCTACTCCAGGCGCCTGGGTGGCTCAGCATCCAACTTTGGCTCAGGTCACCATCTCCTGATTTGAGTTTGAGCCCCATGTCTGGTTCTGTGCTGACAGCTCAGAGCCAGGAGCCTGCTTAGGATTCCATGTTTCCCTCTCTCTCTCTGCTCTTCCCTGGCTCTCCCTCTCTCTCTCTCTCTCTCCAAAATAAATAACATTAAAAAAAAAACTTTCTTAAGATCCCTACAAGCGCATGATCCATCCATTTTCATATACCTTGCATAATGACTGTATATAATAATTATGTAATAAATATTTGTTGAACAAAGAAATTCAGATAAATGACTTTTCTCATCAGAAACCAAAAATAAAAATATAAAGAAAAAGTGGGGGGGGGGGAAGACTAGCCTTAAAAAGGGCTAACCTTACTAGAAGATGTTATAGGACCATTAAATAATATGAAAATAAAAAGTAAAAAGAACAGAAGATTAAGAGCTTACAATACTAATGATTCATTTTGACTTGCAGTTATAACTTGTCCTTACTTTAAAAATATTGCCTGGGAAGAAAAAAGAGCAGCATCACTAAAAATTAAAAGGATAATAAAGGAATACTGTCAACAATTCTTTTCCCACAAATTTGATAACCAAGATGAAATGGACAAATTCTTTGAAAGGTATCATTTGCTGAAACTCACATAAGAAAAAAAGAGACAATCCGTATGGGCCTATACCTACTAAAGGAACTGAATCAAAACAGAAAGCAACAGACCCAGAAAGATTCACTAGTGAATTCTACCAAACATTTAAGTTAAGAAATCATACCAATTCTCTATAATCTCTTTCAGAAGTTAGAAATAGGAATATTTCCTAACTCATTTTATAAGGCCAGTATTACCCTAATACCAAAACTAAGACACTATAAGAAGAGTACAGACCAGTATCTCTCATGAACATTGGTGCAAAAATTCTCAATAATGCCATAAGGCAAGAACTGTAATAAAGGCACACAGAGAACATACAACTGTTACTCACAGATGACATGGTTATCTATGTAGAAAATCCGAAAGTACAGACAAAAAACTCCTAGAACTAATAAACGATTATAGTAAGGTTGCAAGATACAAGGTTAGTATATAAAAGTCAATTGCTATGTACTAATAATGAACAGTGGAATTTAAAATTAAAAACATAATACCATTTACATTAGTACCACCAAAAACAATTATTTAGGTATAAATCTAACAAAAAATATGTTAAGATCTATATGAAGCAAACTACATAACTCTAATGAGCAAAATCAAAGAACTAAGTAAATGGAATGATATTCCATGTTCATGGATTAGAAAATTCAGTTTTGTTAACATGTCAGTTCTTTACAACTTCATCTGAAATTCAATTAAATCCTAATCAAAATTCTAGCAAGTGGATATTGCAATGGATATTGACAAACTGATTCTAGAGGTTATATGGAGAGTGAAAAGACCCAGAATGGTCAACACAATATTGAGGGAGAATAAAATTGGAGGACTGCCAGTACTCAACCATGACATTTACCATAAAGCTATAGTAATCAAAACAGTGTGATACTGGCGAAAGAAAAGACAATCTGAAGAGCCTACCTACGGTATTATTCCAAGCATAAGACATTCTGGAAAAGGCAAAATTATGGAGATAATGAAAAGATCAATGGTTGCAGGGGGGCGGGGGGGGGAATCAACAGTCAGAGCACAAAAGATTAAGTTAGTGAAAATATTTTCTATGATATTAAAATGATGGACACGTGTCATTATACGTTTGTCTAAACCCACAGAATACACAAGACCTAGAGTTAACTATAATGTAAACTATGAACTTTGCGTGGTTATGATGTGTCAATGGAGGTTCACCCTTGGCATGAAAAAAAAAAGTACCATTCTGGAAAGTGATGTTGATAATGGGGTAGGCTATGCATGTGTAGGAACAGGAGTACATGAGAGATCTCTGTATCTTCCTCTTGATTTTGTTGGAAACCTAAAACCGCTCCAAAAAAGGTCTTTTAAACAATTCCTTGTGTTTAATAAACACGTACAACTGCAATGTTAAATTGCTTTTGTTTGTCAAATTGGTTGTGACTGGTTTAACACAAAAACAGTTAAACCTTTCTTTTCAAAACCATCTGTGTTAACAGCACAATAGTGCTGGCTAATTACAAGGTGTCTCAGGTCACAACAGTTCTTGAACCCAGTCTCCTGGGGAGGACAAGAAAACAAATATGGTAATTATAGCACAGTGTGATAAGGGCAACAGAAGAATTTTATGGAAGGTAGAAAATTAGAATACAGTATTTTTTAAATTCCTTCCCATCTTCTTTTGAAAGATACTACTACTTAGAGAATTTTAATTTGATAGGCCTCTTTATTTATTTTTTTTTTTTTAATTTTTTTTCTTTCAACGTTTATTTATTTTTGGGACAGAGAGAGACAGAGCATGAACGGGGGAGGGGCAGAGAGAGAGGGAGACACAGAATCGGAAACAGGCTCCAGGCCCGAGCCATCAGCCCAGAGCCTGACGCGGGGCTCGAACTCACGGACCGCGAGATCGTGACCTGGCTGAAGTCAGACGCTTAACCGACTGTGCCACCCAGGCGCCCCATTGATAGGCCTCTTTAAATGAAGTAACATAGCAATTTATAAGAAGTGCAATCAATAAATACAGATATTTAATTCTTACTAATTCTGCCTTTCCTGGGTTATCTAGCTGTGAACTAGTCACAAGAAATCGACCACAAGTAAATTTAGGCTTCTTTCATCAAATTCTATGAGTCAATATAATTTTATTCAAGTAGTTAGTAACTTATTTGCTACCTCCACGGACCAAAAAAAACCCAAAAAGCTCCAACAAACTCTTTTATTGATTCAGTAAATATCTACTGAAAAGCTACAAAGTGACTATATGCAGTCTTTTTTGTTTTATATGCACTGTTTTAACACTGGAAAAATCACAGGAAACAAGAGACCAAAAGATTTTTGTCATCTTTAAGGAGTTCATATTCCAGTAAATATAAGCCAAAACTTACATAATATTATAAAGAAGCAGGTCAAATAAACAACTAGAATTTTTAAAATATTTTTTAGATTTTATTTTTAAGTAATCTCTATACCCAACATGGGGCTTGAACTCACAACCCTCAGATCAAGAGGCATATACTTCATTAACTGAGCCAGCCAGGCACCTCTAAACAATTGGAATTTTAAAAGCTGTGTCTAAAAAAGTATAAAGAGATCTTCAGTGAAAGTTCACTAGGAATATAGGGAATAAAAGAATAATAAAGGCAAATTAGACTGTAAATTCTTAGTAGGAATCCAGATGTTGGCAAAGTTAAAGTAACAGTTTAAACGGTCATTCGTTTATCTACAATCTATAAAACTCACGTATCGGACATGACGCATAAAACTCATGTACCAAACACAATGCTAGATCCTGGGACTATATAGGACAGTGCTTAGCCTTTTGGAATTTGAAGTCAAACGGAAGATAGACTACTAAAAAAGGAAAATGTGTAAGAAATGTTGTGGTAATGGCAGGACAGAAAACTAGGAAGACCTATACTGAATGGACATACCAGACATTATTGAAGAAGTCAGGACCAGGACCAGGACCAAGACCAAGACCACAAAGGGGCGCCTGGATGGCTCAGTCAGTTAAGCGTCCCGCTTTGGCGCAGGTCATGATCTCATGGTCCGGGAGTTCAACCCCTGCATCAGGTTCTATGCTGACAGCTCAGAGCCTGGAACCTGCTTTGGATTCTGTGTCTTCCTCTGCCCCTCCCCCACTCGTTCTCTGTCTCTCTCTCTTTCAAAACTAAATAAATAGTAAAAAATTAAAAAAAAAAAAAAAAGACCAACACCACAAAGAGGTGAAACTGTTGCAACAAGAGAAATTAAGCAGGGGCAAGATCGTAGAGAGCCTTATGAAACAATAAACTCCCAAATCCCTAGCCATTAATCCAAGAACATATTAAATAAGAGTTTTAAGTAGAGTAGCAACCAGATGACATTTATATTTTTAGAAGATAAGTTTGGCTACAGTGTGGAAAACTAATCGGAAGGATGTAAGAATGCAGGCAGGAAACTGAATGGGAAGCTACTGGAGTGGTCTAAAGGAAGAGACGATAGATACGATGGTGGCCTCTACCTGTGAGTTTAATTCTGGGGAAACTTTCAAGCAAAAATAATTTGGGGATGGGGGCGGGGGAGAACTTTTTTGTTCCACAG